CCCTCTTTTTCATTTAATGTTTCTAGTTTTGGTCCTAAAATCATCTGTAATTATTGTAATTTTCCATCAGTAGTTACTATAACTGAATATAGACATGGATTCAGTCTTGCTTACCACTTTGCTTTTCCATTCTATTTCTCATCTCTGTAGGGGTTTATCCTTGTGAGCCCCATTAGGACATTTGCAATACCTAATATTATATTTTAACTCTCACGTCTATGATTTTGAAACTGTGTGTATGGTAAAAATATAAGCTCCACTCCATTTTGCTTGTGTTTGGAAATTTTTTATTAGATAGAAAATTATACGTATTCTCTCACTCCAAATCTAGTATAAAGCATGTTATTTCTCTAGGTAAGTATTTCAGAATATCATTGGGTAACTAACCAATAATTTTTTGGTTAACAATGAGATGATTTGGCTCTGGCCGGTGTGGTTCAGTTGTTTGGATGTTGTTCTATGCACTGAAGGGTTGCCAATTCGATACCCGATCAGGGCACATGCCCGGATTGTAGGCTCAGTCTCTAGTAGGGGGCATGCAGGAGGCAGTTGATAGAAGTTCCTCTAACATAGATGTTTTCTCTCTCTCTCTCTCTCTCTCTCTCTCTCTCTCTCTCTCTCTGTCTCGCTCTCTCTCTCTCTCTCTCTCTCTCTCTCTCTCTCTCTCTCTCTCCCTCCACATATGTAATATCTTAGTCAATAAAAAATATATTAAAAAAAACAATATGGCAAATGTTGCTGGACCTGAGTACTCAACATACTAGTAGTGTTAAATATATTGTCTACTTGTGTATATTGGAAATTTTTTTATAATTTAAAGGTAAAAAAAAGGCACTTACTAGGTCATATATGTCAATTCACTTCAGTAAGTTTAATGCTAACATTCCACAATGGCTTACTATAAAAAGTTATCTTAACATTAACTCTAAAACTCCATGATTCCCCTGTGATCTTGAAACATTATTCAGAGTCAGTGTGGAATTTCTATGATTTTTCTTGTTGCAATTTAAGTTCTTATATAAAAGAGAAAGGCATTTTGCCACAGCTGTGTCACAGAGCAGGTCTATCAAGAGTCTCTAGGTCAGGGACACTCTCATTCTCAGCATTCCCCTTGACTAAGTAATACAGGGCAAGTTCCTCTGAGCCTGTCTAAACATTCAAAAATTATCGTGCTAGAGTGGCGCTGACAAACATTTTCTGTAAAAGACCAAGTAGTAAATATTTTAGGTTTTTCAGAACATATGGTGTCTGTTGCAACTTCTCAACTTTGCTATTATAGTGTGAAAGCAGGCATAAGTAATATATAAACAAATGAGCGTGGCTGTATTCCAATAAAACTCTATTTACAAAAACAAGTGGAAGGCCAGACTTGGCTCACAGGCAGTATTTGACAAACTCCTTTGTTAGGAGTTATTTGCTCCTGGCAGGAAAATAAGGAGCTATGAATCTGGTTTAGAATATACACTGGTAACAAAAATCATCATGTTGAGAATGTATGAAGCACAGTACTTACAGGTGTCTGGATCATCATGGCTCGTTGATCTCTCATTGTTCTTACAATGTCTAGTGGATAAACTGGTTGGTTGCATTCAATGAGACACATGGCTGTTTCCATAGTAATCAGAACCCCAGTTCTTCCAATCCCAGCACTGAAAAAGGCAAATATGGGGCAAGGTATTACTGATACTGTTCTGTTAAACTTCGTGGATTTTGTGCAGAAAATTAAAGTTTCGAATCATAAAACAGAACAATTTGATTTAATGTTTAATATCATGAAAGTAGCAAGCTAACTAGAAATATTTTCAAAATTGACAAAAATCTCACACAATACAGATTAAAATGGTTTATATCAACACTATCCCCCATAATTAGCTGTAAAAAATACTATTTTAAAAGTTACATTTCAGTTTTTAAAATATGAACAAGATATAAAAGCTTATTGGAGCAACTCCACTTTAAAATGAAAAATAATAGAGGAAGGGATCCAAGATGGCAACGGAGTAAGTAGAAGATACACCCAGGACCTAATTGGAAGTAGAACTAAAATACAGAATTATAACCTGAGTCGCTAACTGAAGACTAGCTGAATAGAAGGCTTATAACCAAAGATTTATAGAAGCAGCCAATGGAGGCTGGTAGGAAGTGCGGAGGTGTGTGTGAAGGTGTGAAAGGGCTGGCCCCAATTCCACAGGCAGTGGCTGAGGTTCTGGAGGAATATCTCAGCTGCAGGGTGTTTCCCCTGATAAGCGTGGGATCTCAAGTCCAACCCTGGCTCTCCAGCCCAAAGCACCAGAGCCTGGAAGATGCGCACACATAACATCTGGTTGTGAATGGCAGCGGGATTTCTGTTTCCACCAGGGAGAGATGGAGTCCCCTAAAAACTCAGGAGCTGTCTTAAAGGGCCAACATGCATAATTTTGTTTATAGCCACTCACCCTAGCTCTGGCCACTCACCTAGGGAGGGAAAAACAGATGAGTCATGTGAGGAGAGACTGGGGTTTGTGGCTTTGGGGACAGAGCTGAGGGAACAATTGCTAGGACCCCCTGTGCTAAGTCACTGTACCGCATGCAGACACCATCTTTCTTGGGTGGAACATGCCTCTCCATGCAGCATCAGCTTGCCCCCCCCCTCTGATCTTCCTGTTGAACCACTCTACGGAGCTTCTACTCTGCTAAGGATTCAATGGCTTGGGCCATTAGAAGTCTGGCCAATTCAAGGGATGTCAGTGATTGAGTTGTATGACTTAGGGGTGGGGGCCATTCCCTCCACCCTTTCCTGTGATCCTGACCAGCACCTTCCCCTCACAGTAGATCCTCTAGCCCCACTCTCTAAGCTCCTGGAGTTCCCACCCTCTTGACTCTTGGTGGTTCCACTCTGCTGAGGTCTGGTCAGAATCCAGGACAGTCTGAACTGTGTGGCTCTGGGGTAGGGGCCAAACCCTCCAACTTCCCCCAAACCTGAACAGCAC